ATGGGATATGTAGTTCTCTATGTTTATAAGCTGTTGCTACTATAAAACCATGTATTTAAGCAAAGGAACTTGTGATTCGATATACTGTGATAGCCCACGACATCACGATATTTTGGTTATTGTTACATTCCGATTAATTATTTTTATTTGTTTATTTATTTCATTCATAAAGCATAAAAAGACATCAACAGTGTCACAATCAAACATACAAGAAATGAAAAGGAGCGTAAAGAAGATTATATTATCTGCCCCCTTTTCCCTCTTCAAGACAATACATCAACACTGATAGTCACTTTAAAACATTTGAAATCACTACCTTTCAGTTCAGGCACAATTAGTAATGAATTGCAAACAGAAATCTTCACTGTTATGGACAACAACTTAGTTTTCTTTTTCATACATACACATTGCTTTTGATTTTATGTGTTTGTTTTTTTGTTTTTTTTTAATGAAATCATTGTACTTGATTCTTTTATATCTTTGTCCATAAGTTAACTCCTTTCACCTCCTTTCCAATTAAGTAACACTGGGCTAAAGTTCCTGTTTAACCCCAAAATCAAGAGTTATATTAACATTTCGAGAGTAAACGGATAACACTTTGTAGAGTTATTCTGATTTAGCTAAACAAAACACAGAGATGTTTTATTTTTACACTTTAGTTTAGTTCATTTAAGATGAAATTATGTACAAAACTGGTCCAGACTGGTTTTCTCTCGTGGGAGTTTGAAGTGGTGGGTGGGAGGAGCCAAGTTAACACTAAGGGAAGTTGAATTAACACTAGGAGAAGTTGAATTCACATCAAATATATCAACTTTGGCAAACAACCCCAACTTGAACCCTCATTTAACTTTCATATAGTTAAAATAGCACTTTCTGTAACACTCTGAAATATTTTACCCTGGAATTTTAACCCTCCAGTTTTCATTGTTTACCTGAAGTTGTGTTTTGTTTCATTCTGACATGTTTTAAACTTATTATTACACAATTTACAACCCCAAAGCTCAAAATGCTCTGTTCCATTAATGTTACTAAAGCTGTTTTATACTAAGATAAGCCCAAACCCTGTTCCCTTTTTCTATTACATTACATAACCATTACAAACTTGTGCCTGATCTTCACTGACACAGGGCCTATGGCATACGTTCACTACTGACAGTTTACGATCTCTTTTGTTACATGTTTTAACCTGCTAATTAACCCACGTAAGAAGAGTAGATCGGAGACAACACAAAATGAGTTAATTTCAAACTAGAAATTACATCTATTGATTAAATGTCTGTGAAGTCTTTCAGTCTAAACAATGTGAAACGAGCTTCATCACCTTTAATGACCTATAATAGACAATGAACCAAGGCAACAGTTGATAGAAAGTGTAATTAAAAGTGCACTAGGTGGCTTTGCGGTTGGGGGTCCATCACCTGCTTGTTTCTGTGGAGATGTCATTACTCTGCCTGGAATGTTCCACAGTATGACATTAAACAGCTCTACCTTACATTTACAGTGGTCCCTCGTTTATCGCAGGGGTTACATTCAAAAAATAACCCGCGATAGGTGAAATCCGCAAAGTATATCTGTTTTAAAGCTGTAAAACCCCTCACCACACACTTTATACACTTTTCTCAGACAGAACAGGTAATTTTACATCCTTCTTTAAACTTATTGCTGCTGTCGTCCTTATGTTATTTTCCTCCTTCTTTATGCAACAAACTGAAGATTAATTTATTCCGTAATGGAGCCCAACAGAGCAGAGTCCTGCACGGGTCAGTTTTTGGAGACCCGCACCCATACAATACAACAGGGCAGTACACCAGCGCAGTACACCAGCGCACCTCCATAGTACAACACCACAGTACAATGCAGTACAACACCGCAGTACAACACCACAGTACAACAGCGCAGTACAACACCACAGTACAACACCACAGTACAACACCACAGTACAACACCACAGTACAACACCACAGTACAACAGCGCAGTACAACACCACAGTACAACACCACAGTACAACACCACAGTACAACACCACAGTACAACACCGCACCTGCACAGTACAACACCACAGTACAATGCAGTACAACAGCGCAGTACAACACCACAGTACAACACCACAGTACAACACCACAGTACAACACCGCACCTGCACAGTACAACACCACAGTACAATGCAGTACAACAGCGCAGTACAACACCGCACCTGTGCAGTACAACACCGCAGTACTACACCGCACCTGCACAGTACAACACCGCACCCATGCAGTACAACACCGCATCCGCGCAGTACAACACTGCAGTACAACACTGCAGTACAACACCGCAGTACAACACCGCAGTACAACACCAGAGTACAACACCACACCCACGCAGTACAACAGCGCAGTACAACAGCGCACACATGCAGTACTACACCTCACCCGCGCAGTACTACACCTCACCCGCGCAGTACAACATTGCACCCACCTGTTAATCCGAGATTATATCAAATTTATGCGCTGCCTACGCCATGGACTGAACCAAGACTAAACTAGAACTAACCTAAAACTGATTCCAGGACTGAAGAGGAGGACTAAACTAGGATTGAACTAGGACTAAAACAAGACTAAACCAGGACTAAACCAGAACTTCCTGTGGGGATGGGCTCAGGTGACTGCAGGAGAAAGGACCGGCTCAGAGCTCCACACCTCACGGAGCTAATCGCAGCCGTCGCCCAATCGCGCTTTCCGGACACCCTGCTTGGGGTTCTCTCTCTTAAGTCCAAGATTAGTCCTGGTTTAGACCTGGTTTAGTTCTGGTGTAGTCCTGGTGTAGTCCTGACCCGCCCGTGTGTAATCACTACCTGCCCGCATGTCCGCCTGTAATCAGGATGCAGGGGGAGGGACACAATACGCGTTTATAAACTGTAAAATAAAGAACGCAAAACTGGAAAAATAAATAAATAAAAAATCCACGAAACAGCAAGACCGCGAAAGTAAACCGCGAGCGATATCGAGGGACGACTGTATTCAATTACAAATGGTATTATAGCTCAAAAAACAACCATTCTGACCTGTAACTTGGTCTGGTTTGGTTTCCATAAAGATAAGGTTTAATAATACGACACTGTGAAACATTCCAGACAAAACAACAACGTCTCCATGGAGAAAAGGAAAGAAAACTTACACAACGCACCTTTAAGTGGTTTATAAAGTAAACTAATACAAAGTTGTGAGGGACCTGTGGGTGGAGGTGCATCCTGGTGGAGGTCTGCAGCCATTAAAATTATACACTTACATTACTGTGAAAACTGACAGCAAAAAATTCACCAATTGCGACGCTTATGGAGGCTGAACTCTGCACAACCCTGATCTCTCACCATTCGATAATGTAACCACATAATAGCATAATGGCCCAAACTGAACTGTTATTATTAAGAGGATGTTCAATTATTAAAAATATACGTATAAAAAAGTATTGGTGGTTTTCAGAATGTAGAATAGGACTCCCAGATTGCCCTATTGATTACATTATACTTTTATAAGACATATCTGAATGTAAAATTATAATGTTGAACCTGATCATTTCTATTACTGACCACACCATACAATCCCCTATATTATAACAAGAATCTATGTTTTAACAATATTACTTTCACCAGCCCTTATCTGCGTTAAAAGGACTATATATTACGCTATTTTCTGATGTTATAATGTCGTTTCCTCATCACAAACAGAGCTGGAGTTGTTTTGTTTCACATTTAACACACGAACCTTGCATATTTAAGCTGTTGTTCTCAGTTCCACCTTGTGATGTTTGTGTTTTTACATTCCATACACCTTCGCCGAAATAATTTGATTCATCATTTCAGCTCTGGAATTGCCAATCTCTGCTGAAGAAAAAGGTAAAAAGTAGCTGTGAACTTGAAAACTACTGCTATTCATGACATCACAAGGTGGAACAGAGCATTTTGAGTACTGGAGATGTAGACAGACTCATAATAAAGGATTACCGTATTTTTTGGACTATAAAGCGCACCGGATTATAAGGTGCAATATCAATGATGTTGAATTCACTCGTCTACTTTCATGCATAAGATAGACCGGATTATAAGGCGCATTAAGTGAAACAAACAGACGACAATTGAGACTGATCCTTTAGCCCAGGCGTCCATGATCCATTAGCAGATCATGGTGTAATTCACCCGGCGTTGCCTCCCTGTTTTGGTGAATGTGGATTATGAATGTGAATGTGGGTGGATAATTTAAGTTTGTATTTTTTGTTTCCTATAAGGAGGACTCAAATATACATAGAGTAATAATGTGTTTAATGCAGCTTTGTGCACATTTGTTTACATTTTATAGAAATGAAACTGAAAAACTACATGGCTCATTTGCATAAACTATAAGCCCTGAAAATACTGTTCGCTTTGTGCGCTGATCCGGTCCGCTTCTGTCGGACTAAGTCTGCAGATCATAGACTGTATATATGAATGGACATATATTCTCTGTAGCATTTAATTGATGTCATAAATGTCAACACAGAACTATACTTCACCCTTTACTCCGCAAGGCTCCTGACTACAGTAGCCGTAATGCTCCGACAATCCATCAAACGGTGCAGCTTCTTAGTTTACCAAAGTCGTACTAAAACATTTTGACAGATTTTCTGTGCCATGTACCACATAAAATTGGTTAGAGGTCAGTAAGCACAACCAAAATTAATACATAAGGCGCACTGGATTTTAAGGCGCACAGTCGATTTTTGAGAAAATTAAAGGATTTTAAGTGCGCCTTATAGTCTGAAAAATACGATACTCAAACATCTGAATGAAAAACAACACAACTCCATGTATATTTTTGACGACGTAACATTATGACATGACTTAAACCTCTTAAGAATCAACTTTTGTGTAATACAGGACCTTTAAATATTACTGGAGTATAAAATATTGTGATATTATTAGAAATCCACAAATTTGAAGTTTCATGAAGCAGCAGAAGATCTACGTGATTGCACCGAATCTTACCATCAGACAGAAAATATTCCAGCTCTCCGCTCCTCCCCTCGTCGCCGTCGTACGCCTGGAGCTGGTACACAAACGTTCCTGCGGGGGCTTCCGGGGAGACCACAGCCAGGTACGGGTACGGCCTCATACTCCACTCGGGAGCGTTGTCATTGACATCAGCGATTTTCAGCTTCACCTTGTTCAGGTACCAGTCCGGGCCTGGGGGAGAGGGGAGAGATAGTAACAGAGCGGCGGTTACCCAAAGTGACAGCTGTCGTGTAAGTGCGGAGTTACTGAGGGAGACAAGCAGCCAGACGAAGCTAAAGCACGTTCAAAAACCAGACGAATAAGTAGAAGGATGTGTGATAGAAATCTTCCCAAGCAGCTGACACAACATAACGCAGTGGGATTAGTATAAATGGTACATCTGCAGCATGTAGAGGAGAATGCAGTGTTGAGGTGCTAGAAAATCTGCTCATAGTCAAATCTGCACATGATGTTTTAAAGTAATAGAAAAATGACAAAACATGAGCGCCACAGCTGTCCAAACAAGCTGGTTCAAATTGATTCTCCGAGCGTAGTCGTAATACTAAAATTGCACACTTGATTTTAACAATGAGGAAAAGGCTTGATGCTTGGAACTAGCAGCGAAACCACAAAAGATAATACTCCTTTTGTGCTGATTTTTGTACTGACATCCTCTAACCCACTCTGCCTTACTTGACACGAGTCTTTCTATTTTTCTGACTTATTTTGAATTCATTAATACCATTTATAGTGTTGCTCTTTGTTGTTTTTGTATTATATTGTGATGTGTGAGCTATTGTGTCCAAATAATTTATTTTGTGGATCGATAAAGTTTGTCTAAGTCTAAGTCTTTTTATACGATAAAATGACATTTACTTTACATTGTCACATTGTCTTATACTGGCTCTGTTAAAGGAAAGGAATAGGCCCAAATCCTGTTGTATTTATGTCTCAGTGTCTAGTTTCAGTTACTGTGGGTCTCATGATTGATAATTCAACAGTTTCCATTTAAAAGATTCTAAAAACAGTACTGGCTGTATAAGGGTAAGCACTTGTTTTCTGGATATAACTTTAAAAACTGTATGTGAAAGATGAGAAACATCATAATTAAAAGAACATTACTGACAACAAACAAGCACAATACAAATGCACAATACAAGTGTCCTTACAGCTGTGCGGCTCTAACAGTAACACAGTAACACAGTGTCTGGGTCACAGTCACTAAATGCCTTTCCCTGATCCTTTTGTTCGACATGTTGTCACTTCCAGACGGCGCTGGCGCTGATCGGTAGGATTGGAACGAGCTGCTGAGTGTGACGTCACCAAAACCTTATCCATTAAGGATTCCATCTTAGTCTTAAGACTGGGCATTCCCATGGGAGCCAGCCTTAGCTCCAGTCTCATCTGGCTCTGCTGTGTAAAGCTACCTTGATCTTCCCATGGGGGCAGTGCCACGAAGCCGAGTGGCCGGGGGCATTTTGTCGCCTGCACACGGCCGCACCGCCGCACTGGAGTGAATAAGAAGATTCCAGGAATCCAATTACCTCCTCGCTCACCCTGAGCCCGACCAGACTGAGCAAGAGCTGCAGATCCTGAGAGAAGCATGAACAGGTGCATTACAAGAGCGGCCACTGCACACTGCACTGCCAATTACCACAAATGACACTGGGTGTTTTCTGCATTAAACTGACACAATCACATAGAAACAATGTGCACACAAGCTCCTCATACTGCTGCACACCAAATCTGGGGCACATTTGACTGTAGTCTATTCCTGCAAAGTGGAGCAAGTCACTGAACAGTCAACTATAAGACAGTGTTCTGCAAATATTGGCTCTGATCTGGTGTCAACGTGGCATGAAGAAATGTCAGAAGAGCTGCCAACCAGTTCAGCGAGCTGGCCCCCACGGAGGACATCTGCTTCACCCCTGAGAGAGAACCCCTGCCAGGACAAACTGAAAGCAGCGCATGCACCGTGAGCCAGACAAAGACGGATGTGACACACACAAACACACACACACACACAGCACCTGAGGAGGCTAGCTTTAGCATGTCACTGTCACTCTGCTCTTACACACACACTCTGCATGTGTTTACTGGGGGTAGCTACCTTAGAGGTATTTGAAAACTAAAAGTAACTTGGATATCAAATCCTGTTATATAACAACTTTCTGGTTTGTGACCAAGGGCTTTATTTGTACTTGATAAAAAAGCTTTTAAAGCCGTGGTATACCAGCCTTTTAGTAAATGAGTTAAGCTCCTGATTTCCTACTACACTGTAAAAGTAGAACTCTGCGACAAAATGAGACAAAACCATGTTTGTTTTTTTCTTTTGGGGTGGTTTTATTGCATCTCCACATACCTGACTCTTATTTAACCTCCTGCTTGTTTCCATGGAAATGTTCCTTTGGCCACAGTATAGAATAAAACGTATTTATTCCCATGTAGAAGAGTGGTTTTAATTTTCTCTTTTGGATGCAGCGTTTTGTTTTATGCAGGTGATGTGCCATCCCCAGAAAGTTACACAGTCTCACTTTAATGATGCTCTCTCAAAGGGCTGATTTAACAGATGAGCTGGTTTTAACTGTCTGTGTGTGACTTAATCCGTATCTGTATCTAAGATGTATAAAGTCATATGTTTCTCCTGAGAGCTGTGATTACAACAGACTTCTACCAGAACATTAAAACTGAATAAAACTCTGCAATGTATCTTGTGCAGAGCATTCTCCAGCAGCACGAGCTTCTCTTGACTGGAAACACAAAGCAGCCCGAGATCACAGACTCTATTTCTATTTCAACCGGCTTACAGCTAAGATGCATTTTGATGAAAAATGCTATGTGTTGCACTTTAGACCAGCTGTGGAACGTTCACTAACAAAACACAATAGCGCTAAAGTGTGTGACAGCTCTTAAAAGGATTGTTAGAGGGATAATAACAGTGGCTGCAGGAAGTTGGAGCGCAGAATTAATCTAGCTTTCTTCTCAGCTTTAAAGTTGCACCGCCGAGGGACAACTTCTGACTCTGATCTGACGATAGTTGGGTTTTTGGATAAATAGCTACTGTATCGCGGGGGCAGGAAAACCAATCAGTGCTCCGATGCTATCGCTGAAAATGTCGACAGCAGCAGTTCTCGCAATTTAAGCCACGTGACCCTGCGCTTCAAGATAGAACAATCCTTTCGTGATGAATAAGGAGAAGGGATAAAGATTCTATTACGAGTAGGAGGGCTTAAAAAGGCACTTAATCAAAAGAAAATCAGAGCACAGGCACTTAACATTTAGTCGACTATCAAATCTTTGTGAGGAAGGAGCGCGTGGTGCATTCTTGCCTTCTGCTTGTTGGTGTCTCTCCCAGCCATGTCTCTGCGGTAATGGCTCAGATGATTTTACAAGGCTCCATCTAATTAGCTTGTTACAGAGAGACTAATCAAAGCCAAGGCTGATAATTACACGCCAGCAGCTCTGGAATGATAATGATATGCAGGATGTAAACTTTGTGCGTTTGTGGACAAGGTTCGTGTCGTGAGCGTGGACTGTTTGCCTGACCAGCCTCTAACTTCTGCATGTTGTTTTAGATCCACAAGGGACAATAGACAGTGAAAAACCTCTGTCCAAACTTGAGAAAGTCCAACCACGGCTGGTAATTTTTGTAGCACGTGTCTCTCAAATGTGGAAGACATCTGCTCAAGAAATTTCTAGTAACATTCAGAACTAAATATCTAACTTCTTTTACCCACAGTAGCTCAGTTGGTAGAACGTTTGTGCACTGATTCGAAGGTTGGCGGTTCGACGTAAACATTAGTAGAGCGTTCAGATCCACTGACTCACAGGTTCATGTTGTGATTCCAGCTCCCACAGATGAATGCTGGCATGGTGTCCTTGGGCCATACACTTAACCCAAGTGTCTGCGTACACTGGTGAATAGGTGAGTGGTTCTTTAATGTAAAGCGCTTTGTGTGTGTGAGTATAAAAGGTAGAAAAGTACATTTACCGTAAATAAGTAATAGTTTGGTGCTTTGACTGTTGATTCTGTAAAAATCCGCATTGTTTCTCAGTATTTTATGTTGATTTTTCTCTTTTTTTTAGTGTAAGCAGCCATGTTTGTTTTTGATACAAACAGAACATGTGTCTCTCTGAATGGTTAATCCACCAGAGGATTAGAAAAAAGGGGGATAAAAATGGAGGATGATGTGGGTATTGATACTCTGTAGTGACAGGGCTGTACTATGGAATCAATTTTGAGTCAAAAAGTTTAAAGAACAACTTTTAAAACATCAAGAGAAAAATTATAAATCAAAATACCAAATAAAATATGTAAGATCGGAGTCAAATTATTTGTGTAACTGTGTAAAATATGCATCTTTGGCTCTTTTATTTTTGTTCCATGTCTTTCTCAGCCTTGTTTGATGCCATTTTTTTTTTTTTTTTGGTTACGATTCCAGCTCTCTCGTTTGCGCTCCCTGACTTTTTGGTCGCAGTTTTGGCACAAACGTAAAAGGTGGGTGGGATTTACATGGATGCATTCCCATTGGCTAATTTGTGTTTAACAGGCAACAAAGTTTGGAGCTTCAGAAGCTGTTGTGGACGTTTCCTGTTGAATCTTTTCTAACACTTAATGTTCTCTGGTGGACGGTTCTTCTGGAACAATGTTATTCTATACAGTGTAAGTACTGGACAAACTTGTTCTCTGTGTTGCCGTCGCCAAAACTACAGCAGGAAATGTCTACAACAGCCTTCGGGGCAGACGCCAAGCTCAGCTGCATATGCTTGCTTAGCTGTCCGTCAAACATATGGCATCAAACAAAACTGACAAAAACACGGCACAAAAACTAAATGTTTCTGAAGAGGCGAAGACACATATTTTACACAAATAATTTTATAGCTTTATTGTTTATTATTTTATTATTTTGTTTATTATTTATTTTATTTTACTTTTTTGTTAGATTTTTTTTTTTTATTATTATTATTTTTTTTTGGTATTTTGGTGTTTTGGTACTTTATACTTTTTTGTTTTTTTGTACCTGTATATGTATGGCAGATTCAGTAGTTACCATGGCGACACAATGCACACATTAGAAAACAACAAAGCAAACAAAAAAGTTTTTAGCTGTTTTTTTTTTTTTTTTTTTTTTTTAATATGTATAAGCAGCCATGTTAGTTTTTGACACAAACAGAGCATTCATCTCTCTGAT